TTCGGGGCTTCATCCATCGCCCCCTTGCCCTTGCCTTTCTTGCCCTTGCCCTTGTTGAAGGCGGCAATCATCTCTTCTGTCCATGCTGCCTTTCCCATCTCCTTCTCGTAGCCGATGAGTCGAAGGTGGGAGTCGTAGAACTTGATACTCTCTAGCACTTGCTCAAGAGTGTCGCTCTTCCCATGAAGGAGAACGTAGTGCTTGCAAGTCTCAGGCATGCACTTGAAGTGAAGCATCACCTTCTCGGCTTCTGATAGCTTCACAGAGGGATACGACTGGAGATTCCTGTCCACTCGCAGGAGCTCTGCTTCCACGGCCCTGTAGATGTCCAAGGGACGATGGAGGCGCTTCCCTGGCCTGTACGCAAGCACAGTCTCACGAAGCAAGGTCGCCTCCATCCGGGACTGGATCCCGAACTCCAAGTTGAGCTTTCTGAAAGCTTCATAGCCACACGCAGCTCCAAGCTGCTCTTGTTCTGCTTGTCTCACGACGTCAAGGCCCATTTGGAAGGTTCCAAGGCTTTGTCTAAGCAGGTGATGGAACCTCGCACTTCTCGCAGCAGGGCCTTTCTCAAGGCTATCTTGTCTCACCACGCGGTCCGTGACGGTCGCTCGGTAAAGCTCGATGGGGTAGAAGTCGTCAAGCAATGCCAACCAAGAATTCACGCTCTCAACAAACTCCGACCAGTAGTTGATCTCGTTTGCTCTTGTCGTCATCTTGTCAAACGCAGGCATGGGAATCTTGGGCAAGTATTGCTCGGCTTTGTGACGTCGCACACCACCAGTGTCCTTTTCGACTTCCATTGGTGCGCTTCCTTGGTCATCCTGCACAGTTGAAGACTGGGCTGCACCTGCAGCAGAAGAGTCCTTTCCCAAGTTGCACCAAGTCTGCTCTTTGTTGCGACTGGGCCTGGATCACCGTCATGGCTACTCCAGGGTCAAGCTGAGGCACAACAGGAGCCTGCAGGGAACTCGTAGCTGGAACTCCTGCTGGTCCCGTCACAACAGCACCACTCGGAAGCTGTGCTGAACTTCTTCCTGGCGTGTTTGCTCTTGAGGTAGCTCGAACTCTCGAAGGAGACCTACCCCGAGTCTGCATGGGCAAGTCAGCTGGTTTTTCTAGGAGGACTCCCTGTACCTCCCACGACTTCCATCACCAACACTGGACAACGTGTCGCTGTCTCCACTTGGCACTGGCAATGAAGTCGGTCGCCTCATATCCCGAAGCAGCTGGAGCCACGCTCCGCTACCACGAGAAACTTCGACACCACTCGTAAGCTCGTTCAAACAACCAAAACTTCAAGTTTCACTTTCAAACAGCCGTGGTCAACGAAGTTGTTCCCAGTCCCTTCCAAAGCAAGCAGCCTAGTGCACACACAACAAGCAGGGCTTCAGCACACTCGGACTTCTGTTTTTCACCGTGCTTGAGCCAACGTTCACAAGGCAAGTCCCTGCAGGGCTGGACGGTTTCTCTACAGCACAAACAAGCCTGGGCGCTTTCTCTACAGTCAAGTGGCTAGCTTCTCACAGGTAGCCAAGGCAAACACAACCAAGCAACGGCAGTTAGCTGACAACATTCAACGGCTTCGAGCTTTCCTCACTTGGAGATTCTTGTCACTGAGACCGAAGATTCACAAAACTTCGCTGGCTCAACTAACACTTCAAGCATGTCCAAATCTCAACAAAATCACATGGCTACCACGCACAATGCAGAGAAAAGCAAGTGTCCCATTTGTGGAGGTTCCAGCATCTGTCCACATGGGCGTGTGAGACACTCGTGCCGACCTTGCGCAGGGACTAGCTTTTGCGAGCACGACCGCCGCAGAGCCATTTGTAAGGAGTGCGGCGGCTCATCTCTTTGCCAGCATGGACGTGTGAGGAATTTGCGCAAGGACTGCGGAGGTGTCTCGCTGTGCGAACACGGCCGACGCCGCATTATGTGTAGCACATGCGGCGGCTCAGACCTGTGCCCTCATAAACGTCAACGCCATGCTGCAGCGAGTGTAACATCGATATGCGAGCGCAAGAGCACTGCAACGACACACGCAAGCCCATCATAGTGACAACCCCCAAAGCGCGAGAGGTACACCAGCTGCTGGGTCAGGCCGGTCTGCACCACCTGCCCTAGTCAGTCCGGGCCTTCACAGACTTCGTACTGTACGCCGCACCGCGAGCGGGATCCAAGCTGCGACGTGCGCCGGGATTTTGACATGGCAGCCAGCGTTGCTTTAGGCAGCCAGCACAAGCTGATACTATGACAGGGAGACTCAGGACAGTGAGTTGCCTGCCGTAGCAGAGGAGTGGGACGTCGTGGCACGCGCCGTTTCGCGGGCAGTGGTGCAAAAACAGACATGTCCTTGTTCGAAAGCTCAATCACTGGGAACATTTTGAACGATGGGAGCACCATGGCCCAGAGCGGCATAACGGCGGAGCAGTTGAGCCTGGTCCTTCTGAATTATACCACCTTGACCGAGACGGCAACCAATACGGCCTCCATTTCGGCCAACGCAACGGGCGTGGCCAACAATGCGACCGCAATTGCCGCGTTGCAAACGCAGGTCGACAACCTGCCCACTAGCGCCTTATGCAGTTGGCCTCTGACTTGGCTGCGGCGGAAGGGCATCGCCGCCAACGCCAGCAGCGCTAAGAGCACTCCGGCGAGCGTCGACGCCAAACTGGAGCTACTCCGCAACGGCAGCCATGAATTCGGCCATCACCAGCGCCAACAACGCGTCTGGCCTGGATGTTGACACCAAGATCGCCAATGCGCTGCTGGACCGTCCTAGCACCACAAAGGGTGACCACGACTCTGCTAACATATGTGATCCAAGTCGCTTTTGGACGGGCACTCCGCAGCGCACTGCCACAATGAAGACCGTGAAGCATGCGAGCCAGACGGCCAGAGGTGACATCGTAGTAGCTTGAGCGGCTTGTCGATGACAGGGCCAGTGAAGAAGCCACTTTTGGAGGGCAGCCAAGACGATCTGCTCCGCCGCAAAACCTCAAGGCAGTCGAAACAGAAGGGCAAAGTTTTTGGCACGGGGCCGGTCCGCTGAGGTCACGGGGAGCTGTCGAAGGGGGCCGCATCCAGGCCATGGAGGTTATCAGGCATCTGAAGTTTATAGCCGGAACGGCTGCAAGGTGCCAGGCGAACCTGTACCCTGAAGTCAGCTCTGAGCCAAAAGTCCAGACCTAGCTTAGAGCTGACAGGTATGCTGCACACGGCACCTTTCGATTTGGAGCCGTCTGAGGCGAAAACTTGCTGGAGTGGCTCTACCGACAAGTTTGACACTGCATGAAGCCACGAGAGTTGCATGGTTGCATTCATCACGTGAAGTCATGCAGAATTATTGTCAGAACACTAATCCACCGCACTCGCGGCAGTGAGGTCTTTGGCGGCCGCACGCAAATGCTGCGTCTTCGCACTCACGACATTTTGCTTTAACCGTGGATGCAATATTGGTTTGCCAGCGCAGTCACGGCATGCGCCTCCGTCGCCCGTGCTCGCAGGCACTGCAGTTGCGGCAGGGGTCGCGACGCCGACCGTGCGGGCATTTCTTGTCAGGCTTGCACGTCCGCACCATGGCTGAACCGCGAGCGGCTAAGACTAGCCCTGGATCCTCAAGTCTATTTTCCAGAGGTATCCGGCTGGTCGAGGCGCGCCAGGTCGTCGGCCCTGGTGCTGATGCCGCTGAGGATCACTTGAAGGAAGTGGTGGTGCTCGGCGAAGTTCTTTGCAGGATAATGTGGGTACTGGATCTGCATCTGCGATTCCAAGAAGAGGTGCCATCTGCTTGATTGCCTGGCTCCACTCTGTTGAAGCTTTCAACCAGAGCACTGTCCAGGGTGACCTGCGAGGCAACATGACTGTCTTGGTTCGGTTTTGTAAAATGGAAAAGCCATATTGGTGGCTTAGATTTTGTCACCCACGAAGGTGCCTGCTTCGGTGCATCTCCTCCACGTTTGCCGAGGCGCAGGCTTTCAAGACGGGCATGTTCCGATTCCCCTCTTCTGCAGACTCACGCTGAGAAATTGCGCAGTGTGTTGGTGCCCAAAACCAAGTTCCAGGTGATTTCGCCAGACCAGGCCTGCACGTTGATGAAATTGCTGCCGCCGCCGGTTGTCAAGGCTGCCAGTTGAGCGAGAATGGCGTCTAGCGCTCTGCAGGCTGGTTTCGGCAGCAGTCAGGTCTGATGACGTGGCACAGGGGCCTGCACACTACGAGGCCAGGATGTCGGCGTCGTAGGCGTCCCCTGCTGTCTCTGAGAGCCAGTGTGGCGTCCAGCTCCGTCTGCTGCACGCAGGGTAGGAGGCGAGGTCTGGTAGTCCGCCGCCTGCAAAAGCGGCCACGGAGGCTTCCACCGCCAGCAAGAAGTAGGAGACCGGCGGTTCGGTGTAAGAAGGGAGCAGAGTCGTCTTGGGCTGCCGTTTGGAAGTCCGCCACTTGCAAGGTTGCTATGGACGCTTCAACGCTGTCCAGCCTCCCATCTCGCAAGGTCAGAGCCGCGCGCTCCTTGAGCAGCCGAGGCTCTCGAAGATGAGGTGGTTGTCCTTTTGGCGCTTGGACCCTTTTTACGGAGCTCGCTACCGGAAGGAGTTCGCCTTGTTAGGTCACCTGCTTGACCTCGAGCTCATTCACCGAAAGTGCCCTGGAAAACCACCAGCACTTGCAAGAACGCGAACGTTTTGGATGCTGAAGTCTACGGAGCTGTTCTGACCTCCACGCACCGCGTCAGCAGGATCTGCAAACTCAATCTCCAACACCAGGTTCAATTGAGGAGGCAACATCTTGCCGCAGCCCAGGAGACCGAGGGTGGGCGCCATGAGCACTTCCTGAAAGTGCGACTGAGGCAGGGCAAAGGGGAAGCCGCCGGTGTCGTTGACTTCGAAGCCCTCGTTGGACTGGTTGATCCACCATTCGCGCGGCTTCAGCGTGTGCAAGTGCACGGATCTCGCGTAGTTGTCGATGTCGTCCGTGCGCTGGCCGTTGGCGAAAAGCTGGATTCTCTTGATCAGGCAGGCAGGGTGCCCCATGATGGGGTGAAAGTCGTTGGTGGCATCGTTGTTGACGAAGCGAAAAGCCACCTTGATGCTCTCAGGATCGATGAAGTCTGAGCCCGACGTCAAGGGCACGCGAACCACCCGAGAGGTCGTGGGCGTGATGGTGCTGAGGGAGCTTGGGAAATATTGCGCATCTTTCCGAGATATCACGTAGGGTGCGTTCGACGTGCGCATCTTGTAGTCCAGGCTCTGCATGAGCTCGTCATTGTATTAGGATTCGTCTGGGTCGGTTTGGCGTGGGAATGCCTATGCAATTTCGGCTTATGCTGTGTGTTTTAATCCTTTCGAACATTTGCCATATTAGAGGCCAGTGTTGGGAGGATTT